ACATTTCTCCAAATCTGATGAAGAAACAAACTCATTTACATCTCTAATGAACTGAGGGTGAGGACATTTTCAGCAAATTTTAATTTTTGCATTAATCCAAATGAGAATTTTCACTCAAAATTCTCATTATTGTAAAGGCCAAAAATATGTTTATAATATTTAAATTGTTATTTATAAATTGCAGATATATTTCTTGTGTTACCATTCATTTATGCAAATTTTAATTAAAAAAATAAATGTATTATATAATTTTATAAAGGTATTATAGTAATGATAATCACCACGGAGAACAATGAGAATTACAAAACAAACAAATAAGGATAAATAAAATAATAAATAAGGATGCTTAACAGAGATGAGAATGAAAATTTGGAACCGAAATATGTTTAATTGTTATTAAAATAAGGTCAAAATGAAATAAAAAAAAAAGTTCTAAAAAACAAACAAACAAACAAAAAGCAATCACTGTCTTTCATTATTTATTTTATTTATTTTTCCTTTTCTTTTGATTTTGGGCTAAAATGTGACCTGGACATATTTTTTGTGTGATGTATCGTCCAGTATGCAATCTTTTGTGGCCCACAAAGTCACCCTAGAAAACCTTTGAAAAACTGTAAATATTTATTGATTAATTCAATTGTATTTTAGCCATACATCTGCATTTTTGGGTGGACATTTAAGGGTGCTGGTTCAGGGAAAAACACAACCACTGCACCCCGTCTCTAGTTCATCATCCTCAGCCCAACACAGAATGATCAAAAATCAATCAAATCACCCAAAGGAAAGCAATCTGGAAACGTTTCGGTACATGTACAAATCATCGGTGAACATGTATATCTTGGGATATCTAAAAAATAATGGATAAAGAACCTGTCAGATGGCCTCGTTTGTTTCTTGTCGTGTATTGTGCCATGTTGTCTTGTCTTTCAAAACTCCCCTTGAAAACCGATTCAATGCCGAACGCAACATCCACAAAAAATTATCTGGATAATTAGTTGAAAAGCAACACAACACACAAAACGTATATGACAAGACAAAACCAATGCTCACAAAACCTGTCAAAGAGTCATATTTCACTCCAAAATCTAAAGAAAGAAATATTCAATTATACTTTGCTGAAAGTAAATGCAGCCTATTTATACAGTAACATATTTTTTTTATGATAACTAAGCACATTTTCCCCAAATTTTTACTTTTTTTAATTGTTAACTACATTACAGTCCAGATAATCTTACTGAGAATAGTGAAAAATACATAAAAGTGAAACATCTAGATGCATTACAGTAATTTTGGAGGCAAAACTCTTAATCGCCATAAACACAATTAAAACAGACTTCATCTTCTTTATGCAAAATGTCATTTCTTATTTTATTCTCTTGATTTGGGGGTGAAGCGTGATTTTGACATGTTTTTGTGAGATTCGCCCCAACAGCCGTTACTTTTCTCCAGCAGAAACAATTCGTATTTTACAAAAAGAGTTTCTAAAAAATAAATACAAAGATTTTCAAGACTGATTTACTGTCACTGATAGTTAGCAAACTCCTCTCAGCGATCCCACCCCAACTCTTTTTTTTTTTGTTTTAGTTTTTTACCCACAGGATATTCAGTCCTTGTCTGTCACCCTGACGAATTAATCAGAAAATTGTCCATTTTTGTATTTCAGTCCATTGCCAGGATGAATAAATAAATAAATAGAAAGCAATAAATACATAAATATCATTTATTTTTTTTTTTTTTTTTTTTTCATTTTTCTTTAAATAAATACATATTCATTTAAGGTTCTTTTTAAATGTTGGTGATTAAAAAGTCTTTCCATTGAATCCATCTGGATCCTGGTGACTTAAAGTCATTTATCGCCACAGATGGGCAAAGAAATCACCAAAAAAGAGCAAAGAATGAGTGTTTTTTGTGGTTTATATGGCACGGCCCCGTTCCTCTTGCTCTTGCTGACAGGTGAGAAGATGTTGGAGGTTTGCCCAGCACCCGGTTATTGTTGTTTTTCTCCTTCAATATTTGTCCTGAACTTTTCTACAAGATGAGAAGTCACTTTACAAAGTGTAACGGGTGACATTAAAACTCTCCAGACTGACTGGGATCCAAACTAGGAACTGCAGGGAGAAAAAAATGACGGGATGCTGTTCACAGGATGGTGCTAGGACGCTTCTTCCTCAGGTTGGGCCGGGGCGTAGTATCCCGCCAGCTGCCTGAAGCGTGGCCCCCAGTCGCTGAGGTACGAGAAGTCCTGCTCCGAGGTGGTAGACAGCGTATGGATGGAGCTTAGCGAGAGAGCCGGTGAGCTGCTGCCCTCGAAAGCGTAAGTCTGGAATGAGTCGTACGGTGGCACCGACAAGTCCGCGTCCGCCTGCTCCACCTTCTTGCGTATGTAGCCTTTGAAAACCGAGAAGTCGGCCGGGCCGCCATCTCCAACAACTCTGTTCTGGATCCACTGCGGGACCGGGCGCTGGTCGGGGCCCGAATCTGAGTTTTTGACCTCGGGGAAGTCGTAGAGGTTGCGCAGGGCACTCATGTCATATGCCTGGGTGTCCTGCTCGCCGCCACCCTCGTCATTGTATTTGATGACGTTGTCGCGCATGTCCTCCTCGTCTTCAGACATGAGCTGGCCCTTCCTGTGACGCTTGAGGGTCAAGATCAGCAGCACCAGGACTAAAGGAACAACGAGAGACAAACAAGACTAGAGATTAGAAAAGACATCATGCTATGAAGAATCTAATCTTCCTTGATCTTTTGAAATGAAAAAGATCAAAAAGAGAATTAAAAGTGACAGTAAAGACATTTATAATGTTACATACTAGGGATGCACCGATACCGATACTCGTATAATGTATAACGAGTGGTTCCCTGCATTATTTTAGGAAAAGGTTTTGTGATTACAGTATTGAGCTGCTGCAATGGAGCAGCTCTAATGCGCCATTAAAATGAAGAGTGAAAGTAACAAAAGCTTATACAATACATTTTAACAGGTAGAATTAAGTGTGGAAATAACTGAAGGTAATATCTGTTTGCTAAATGAAGCCAACTAACATGATTCATATTATTATTATTATTATTATTATTATTTTGTTTCAGTACTCAATATTTAAAAAAATTACAAATGCTGTGAAAAGTACAGGTATTGGTATCGGCAAGTACCAAAAATGAAAGTATTGTATCGGGCTAGTTCTGAAAAAAGTGGTATCGGTGCATCCCTATTACATACAATTTCAAATTTCAAATAAACGCTGTTCTTTTGAATCCATCTACTTGAAAAAAAAGCATTAAAATGCAAAAAAAAAAAATAAATTGTACCATGGTTTTCACACATATATGAAGCAGCACAACTGTTTTAAACATTGATAATAATCAGAAATGTTTCTTGAGCAGCAAATCAGCATATTAGAATGATTTCTGAAGATCATGTGACACTGAAGACTGGAGTAATGATGCTGAAAATACAGCTGCGCATCACAGAAATAAATTACATTTTAATATATAATCACATAGAAAACAGTTATTTTAAATTATGATAATATTTCACAATATTGCTGTTTTTATTGTATTTTTTATCAAATAAATGCATCCTTGGCAAGCATATGAGATGTATTTCAAAAGCACTAAAAAAAGAAAGATACACTGTGGAAATAAAATGATTTGCAAACACCATTTCTTGACTTTAACCTCTCAATGCAAATATGAGGAAAGTAAACTAAATTAACCTCTGAATCTCAGGATAAAAATATAATGCTAAAGGGGAGCTTCGTTAACATATGCCACAACATCACTTTTCATGAGAAATTATGACAATTAATACAGTTTATTTCAAATATGCAAAGCCTGCGCAGGTGTCAAGCATCACAGTTTGCAAGAAAATTACTTATTAGAAAACTAAATTGTTTCAAACAGGAAAAGGAAAATCCATTAACCTCAAATTGACTCTTCAGTAAACAACTGAGCCGCTTCTTGTACTGCAGAAGTCAACTTTCCTCAGCGGATCACACAACAACACGAGGAGGATATTAACAAACACAACCTGGCAACGCTATGCAGCGAGGGAACATATTACAAACCACATCGTAATTTTAATGAGAGATGTGTCCTTTCTGTAGCATTTCAACTACTGCATCATGAGAACAACGCTTGACAACATAATCTCACATCAATTTCTATTAGAATTGACCCTTTGCTAAGCTCCGCCCCTCTTGGTTACTGCTGCTTGCATTAGATTGTACTGAATGATGTCATTTTTGCTAAAATGTGCTTAATATTCAGTCAAAAGTATAATAAGCTCACTGGATATTATTCCTTCTGTGAAAAAATCCAGTAGAAAGAGCATAAACTTCTCAAATAATTACACACACAGCAACAGCTGCTAAACCAGGATTGGTCAATAGCATTTTAAGGCGGAGCTTGTTGAAGTCTAACGACTGCATTATTCATGAGCATTCGAGACTGGTTATTAAGTGATATATCTGCCATCCTAATGTCTTCATTCACTAACAATATGTGATTGAGAAGAGAGATGCAGAAAGGATTACAAATAAATGAGACGTTCACAATAATAAAAAAAATAATAATAAATGTGATTCATGTGTAGCGTGCAAAAAATAAATAAATAAAAAGCCTAAAACATAACGAAATAAAAAAAAATAAAAAATGAAAGGAAAAAAGTACAGCAGGTTATGTTAGTTGAATATCGAATAGAATATTAATTATGAATTACATTTCTAAATATAACTTTTGATTCCATTTAGATAAAATAGACTAAAATAGGCTAAATCATTTTAAATTAAATTAAATTAAATTCAACTAAATTGACACATTACAAAAAAACAACAACTTGCTATTGACCAATCAGAAGCCAGGACCAGAACTAGCATGGAACCGAACCGAACAGAACTATGCTCTCAAACTAGTCTAGAATACTTGGAACACAGATGTTCCATAACCTGACTATGAATTGCAGTGGCGGCTCGTGGGTTTTAAAATAGAGGAGGCACACTAATTGTATTGGTCTGGGATCCCTGCCGATTATTATTATTATATTATTTTCTTAACCACTTTAAAATGGCTTTTTGGTTGCTTTTAGCACATACATAACGACA